AATAACAATAGTTAGTAAAAAGAGGAACTGAAGAGCATAGGTGTTAGTAAGACTGGGACATTGGCAAGGAGGATCTGGAAACTTCCCCTTTGGGTTAGTAACAGCATAAAAACTAATTGATCACGGAAGACGAGGTCAATCTCTCGCTCCGGCCATAGATGAAGAAGTAGGGTCTGAAAAGTAGCTAAGTTGAACTTGAAGGCTCTCTTTTGGAAATCCAGAACAAAAACGGTAATTTGTAGCAAAGGTAGTTGACTGGAAGAATTTTTAGTTCAGAAAAGATGAGATGTAGAGACACGAAAGGCTGATCACCTCCCATTACAGCTGAACAACTTGATCCAGGACAGATTCAGAGCCTTGTCTTTGTCTCAGAAAGATTTTCCTATGGAGGTTTAACTCAGCTTTCATTGCTTGGGTTCACTTAAATGTTGTTTTATTTTTACAGTCAACTGCTTAGGGAAAGATGAAGCTGATTTTGAGTTATTTTGATTATTTTGATGACATGTTGATTTGAGACCATTATATCTAATCAATGAATTGTGTTTTGGCTGTAACCCGCAAACGCTGCAACTAATAAAGACAAGCAAGAAGAAAACTCTAAATCAAGTTGTGGAACTTCAATTCTTGGAGTCACTAATTTTGTATCATCTCACAAGTGTTAAATAGGTAAAAGCCTGAGTTGGTAAAATCTAGTGTAGATGATTCTTATCGGTTGCCTTGGCCTCAAGAATATTAAAGAACAGTGTCCCTGGGATTTATATCCAAATCACTAAACTTTATCCAGCTGATGAACAAGAGCCGTTGTCAAAAAGAAGAGAAGGTCACAGTGTAACAGGTGTGTGTAGGGTATCCTCCTTGCCATASCTACTCACATGGGGGTTTAGCCTGGGAGAAAAGGGGCACAACATCTGGATGAATGTGACCAGAAACTGAACGTATTTTCTTCGCTACATACTAAGACCTTCCAGCATTTGAGGAGTCTGGACCCTYGTAATGGAGAGTGGGAATCAGAGGTATTCCTAAAACTTGTGAAGACAGGTGGGGGGTGACTCTAGGGACAAAAGTCCTAGGTGAGAAACCACACAGGAGGAAACATTATTTGTTTTGCACACATTTCAAATAAATTAAGACTATTTTGCCTTTAAATAAGTTGGAAAAGCCCAGATGATGATAATGACGATATCAAACAATGCCTCYGTGTCGGRACCCCAGGAACAATCAAAAGAAATCAACCAACATATCAGGAAGAGAACTGTTGACCTCCACAACTCTGGTTCATCCTTGGATGTGTGTATCAACCTCAAAGATTATGGTCAGAGGTGAAAAGTTGTGGGAGCAGAGCAGCCTACAAACCTGACTCAGTTCCACCAGTTTTTTCAGGGTGAATGGGACAACTTTTCAGCAAACTACTGAGAGAAACTTGTGGAGGGATACCCAAAACTCAAACTCAAGACATTCAATTTATTTGTATAATTAAAATTTGTATTGAATTTTTAAATACTGTATATATTTTTTTAGAAAACATATAACATAACACAATCTAAACAGACAGGAGTAAAAAAGACAAATAGACTGGTGCACCACCCCACCCCTAGGAAAAAACACTCCTGAACACCAATTTAAAAACATACAGTCAAAAACATCAAGAAACACTCCCCAAATTAGTAAATAAATGAAAAATACACAAAATTCAGAAATCAACAACCAATTCACTCCCAGTCATCCAATGATCCCAAACTTTTCAAAGAGTCCCAGAAGCTGTTCCAGTCAGTATCCTTATTTCCTGCTGTTAAGTGCCAGGAGGACTGCGACCAGTTCTACAT